TCTACGGCAGTTTCCGGGAAATTAAGATGATGAAGACATGAGTTCTCTGCTGGGCCCCAAAGCCCTATGGAGTTTAGAGTTGTCTACGTAGTTGAATTTTGGAATTGTTTTTGTTGTTAGTGTTGTTTTCCTTATTTGATATCGTGCAGATCTTTCGAAGTCTGTTTGGGTTGTACATGTGGTAAGCTCTCGGGAGCTTTCCTGTTGTCGGTGGATTTCTCAGTGTAGCCTGCCTACTAAGATATATCGTAGTTTAGTTCGTAAAAGTGGTCGTTCTTTAAGCCAAGGAAACAGCGTTGTAGGGTCACCCAAGCCTTGAGTGGTACGGGGAGTGCTCTACGCTCGACCCTTGGTCATCTTGGAATTCCTGCGCATAATTTTCCGATGAAATACCTTCGGTAGTATCTGGGAAATTAATATATCTTTCGAAGTTTGTTTGGGTTTCTACATGTGGTAAGTTCCTGGTACTTTTCCTGTTTTTGGTGACTTTCTCAGGGTAATCTGCCTACTAGGACATATCGCAGTTTATTTCGTAAAAGTGGTTGTTCTTTAAGCCCAGGAAACAGTCTTGTTGGGTCACCCAAGCCTTGAGTGGAACAGGGAGTGTTCTACGCTCGACCCTTGGTCTTCTTGGGAATTCCTGCATATAATTTACCACTGAAATACCTACGGCAGTATCTGGGAAATTAATATGATAAAGATATGAGTTCCTTGCGGGGTCTTAGCAGCTCCGAAGCCCTTGGGGTGGCGGCACCATTAGTGGGAGTGGGAGGCTTACTAGTGGCGGTGGGAACGTCGCCCGGGCGCAGTAGGAAAACTAACTTCCAGCCTTAAATGGCTGACCTTTAGAATAGGGAGGGTGTCACAGGGTCACCCAAGCCTTGAGTGGTGAGGGGAGTGTTCCACGCTCGATTTTGTGCCACTTGGAAATTCTCGCTAGTTTTCTTTCCCCTTTTTTTAGGCGTGGTCATTCATATCCTTCCTTCTTTTTGGGAATTTTCTTGGACTTTCCATATGTGGCTGCTTTTTCGGTTGTCTTATATGGCTTATTGCAATCAGACTCGTACTCGTTCACACTTTTCATGCATGTGAACAGCAACGCAGCAAACTGGCGACGTGCGCCCAATCAAAACTCAAAGATATGGCTTCCAGATACGAGTTCACTCTCCGTTGGCTATGGCGTCTCGGCGCCCAAACAACTCACTGTTCACACACACTGGATCACCCTGGATATCCCACACACGTCACTCTGAACACTCGAACACACACACACACTTCCTACTAACTACGGCTATGGCAGCTATGGCTGCCTCTAACCTATCGCTATACTAACTCCTCCTCTCTYGCCCACTGCGTCCTCCGGGCTCATCTGCAGACCTCCTTGCACAAGTCGCTGTGGCAGCGCTTCCGCATGGCTCACGCAGGAATGAATGAATGGCTGGGCGCTGCCTCTTGATTTATACTTCAGAAACTCGTTGGTCTGCCCTTTGCCATCGGCCCATGGTGYTCACAGTCCCCCGTGGTACTTGCTGGGCCGGACTGGGACTGACTGGACCTTACCGCTGACTGACTGTGGACTCACTGCTATCCTACCGTGGTCAGACTGCGTTTGCACTGCAGTTTAGTCCATCACTTGCCTCGCCACTTGACCACTTGCCCACTTGCCGACCTTCTAGAAGGACTACAGCTAGACTTCTAGAACTTGCTAAGACTTCTATGCTATAGACCTACAGATCGAACCTCTGCTGCCTATGGACCTACGACAAACCTACCAACTGTCTACGAATACACAGGTCACAGGTTCAACTCTCGGGGTCTACACAGATACTGTACATGGGTAGGGTGAGGTCTAGGGATCGAACCCTGGGCACTGCATCTGCTACTGCAAAAAGGTGAAAACCGTTTCACTCCCACCGTCCTAAATTTGAGGTCCTCCGAGAATATTCCAGTCCAAGGCAGGACCTTTACCTTTCTTATCACGTTCATACGCTCTGACTATGTCGGGAGCTGTTTCTAGTAGTTCTGTCCTTCTGAACCAGCGGTCGTCTTCCGGTTCCTGATAGGCAAACTGGACCTTTACTGCTTCAGGGGATGACCTCTACCTCCTGTTCTAAACACATCCTCATCTACAATACCTTCAATGTCATAACTTCGGTCCATATCCGGAGGAATCATACATCGTATTGAAGGGAACTGTTGGCTTGTGACACACGACAACAGCTTTGAAGCGTGGAAGACAGGATATGTGTGGAGGTGTAATGGGATCTCTACAGTGTAGGACGGTCCATCCTCTCCGCCCTTTACTTCTAGAACCGGCCACGGTCCTCTATATGCAGGCAGTAACTTTTGTGAGATGTTTTCCCCATGTGCAAACTCTTTAGCCTTGACCCAGACAAAGTCGCCTACTTGAAACTGCGACGGACGACGGTGCTTATTAGCTTGTTCTATCATCCTATGTCGGGCCTTCCTGAGGTTCTCTACTACCGTTGCTAGTTCTTTCTCGTGCTGTATCGCAAACTGTAGCGGACCCACCAGGTGTGGTGCTCCGCTAATGATAGAGATGGAGATGGAGGAAGAAGGGGGGGAGCAAAATGCACAACGCAGCTCCCACGCGAGACTCCACGCACGTACTCCAAAAATGTGCAAGTGAAGAATGATGTCCAAAACAGACAATGGCTGGGGTATACCCCAGCGGACTGACGGGACTGGACTGCACTGGCTGGTACCGACAGAGGTGCCGGCCTGGACTGGACTGGACTGCCCCCGAATAGAACACAGGCCTGTGAGAACAGGCCAAGGGGCTGATCTCACAGGCCAACCAGAGGTCCGCTACACGATCCTCGGCCTGTGATGGATCGCCTAGATACAAACATGGTTCCACCAAAAAGCGGAACTCTACCAAAGAAAAGAAAAATTGAGTTGTCTAGGATGCGGAGCAAGCTCCATGCTGAGTCCATGTGATGCAACCTAGGCTAGAAAATGTCACAAAACAACAATGTCACAGCTATCAGCCTAAGTAAAAGCAGAAGCAACTAACTAGCATACATGTCCTAGGAAAGCAGAAGCAACTAACTAGCATACATGTCCTAGGAAAGCAGAAAGTAGTGACAACTAGATCCTAGAATGTTGGAGGCAGTAGCCTCAGTCTGGGAACAGCTGACTATTGTATAAGTCGTAAGAACAATAAAAGCAAGACAACTAAATCCTAGAAATGTCAGAGGCAGCAGCCTCAGTCTGAGAGCAGCAACCAACAACAAGACAACCATATATCACAGGAGAAGTGTGTCGCAAACCAAAGGGTGGGATGGTCTCTGAGGGTGGCGAATGCAGCCTAGGGGTCGAAAACTCCTAAGGGCATCCACACATAGTGACAGGGAGAACACATGTCATCAGGCTCAATGAGGGTAGGGAACTGGGAGTGAACAGAACCAATGACCCTAACACATAGACCATCAGGGCGGGTAAAGCGCGACTAAGGGGTGACCGCTATGGAGGGTCGACCATGCAAGGGAACAAGGGAGCCTGGTATACTGGGCGCACCTAGATGAAGCATGCGGGGGCTGCCTAACTAGGGTGTGAGGGTCGGCAAAGGGTAGAACAATGACGGAATCATGCAAATAACTCCTAAAGTGAGAGAAGTCGGAGCTAGATCCGTAAGATGGGAAGCCACGGCAACGCTATGGTCCCGATGCCTATGCATATACCAAGGGAGAGCCCAACTCAGAGGAACCCGGTTAAAGGGAGACCATCATGCGACACAAGCAGGGTACTGTACAGGGTAAAGTGGTAAGAGAGTGATGACGTCTGAAGTAAGCAGAGCTGATCGTGACGAAGTCCATGAAGCTGTCGATGACGTCCACGATGAGAAGTCTGGAATGTCGTCAAGGAAAAGCCGCAATGTCGACGAGCTGAAGTAGCAAAACTGGAGTGGATGGAGTACTGAGAAGTCAAGGACGTGGGAAGGTAAGTCAGAGTCAATCGTCGTATCGAGCAGGACGACGACGAGTGCGCTGTGGACGCTCAGAAGCATCCGGCTGCTGCTGAAGGTCTGCCTCAGAAGGGGCAGGCTCGACTTCAGCCGTCTCCTCAGCCGAGGGAGGAGGAGGAGGGTCATTGGGCTGAGGGGGAGCAGTCGACCCAGCACGACGAGCACGGTCRTAGGCACGCACCAACATGCGACCGTGCTGCAAGTGCTCGAGGGGCTCCCAGGTAGCCTCCTCATCAGGGTAACCCTTCCAACGTACGAGATACTCGACGTGGGGTGGGTTGTCGTCGATGACTCGGCGACCAATGATGTCTAAAACGAGGAACGACTCCTGGTCGTCCACCATGATGGGTGAAGGGCGCTCGTATGGTCGTCCAACGAAACGCTCAGACGGTTTGCGGTAAGGACGCAGTAACGAGACGTGGTAGACATCGTGCACACGAGTCTGGCGTAGGTAGTCGGGCAGCTTCACACGGAAGCTGACCGGGCTAGATGTCGTATCAGAACCGACAGCCTGGAGGATGTGGCATGGGCCAAAGAAGCGACGCCGAAACTTGTGAAGCGTGTCCGCTTCGAGCTAAAAGTGGTGGGCTTCGATAAGCACATCATCACCGACTTTGAATGAATGGTCCATCCTCGATCGGTTCACACGTGCTGCCATGTGAGTCTGGGAAGCGGCTATGTGCTCATGTGCGGTCTTCATGATCGACGTCATATGTGCAACCCAATCATCCAGCGCGGGACAACTCGTGTCGGGGTGCAGCTGTGACAGTCGAAGGAAGTCCGCGGGAACACGAGGGTGATAACCGAGGTCGCAATAGTAAGGCGACATCCCCGTGGCTGGCGAGACAGCGTGGTTGTAGGCTATCTCCGCGTGGGCAAGATGGATATCCCACTACTGGTCGTCATGAACAATCTTTCGGAGAATATCCCCGAGAGTCCTGTTCGTGATCTCGGTCTGACCATCAGTCTCAAGATGGTAAGACGAGGATAAGCGGAGCTGAGTGTCGTACACCTCGTGGAGCCGGCACCAGAATCGGCTAGTAAAGCGCGGGTCACGGTCAGATGTCATGCATACACTCTAGGAATACCTCAGGATAAACACCCATCCAAACAACTCCAATTACAAAAGCTCAGTGGCAAGTCGTGGTCACTCACAACTCGGTCAAACACGATGTCGGCGACCTCACGTGCACTGATGGCATAGCGGCACGGAACAAAGCGTGTGCGCTTCGTGAAGCGGTCGACGATGACCAGCATAGCATCAAGACCGCGGGGGGTCGGAGGATGAAGAGGACCGATAAAGTCCATCGAGATGGACTGCCAACGACCCTCAGGGATAGGAAGAGGCTGGAGCAAACCATAAGGTAGGTGGTTCGCATTGTTCACCTCCTGACAGGTGGGACACTCTGCGAAGTAGTCCTTCACAAAGTCCTTGCGCTTCGGCCAGACGTACAGGCGGCTCACACGAGCCAACGTCTTGTGGAAGCCCATATGACCGGCGGCTGCCTGGTCATGGAACTCTGCTACTGCTCGGACACGTAGCTTTCCAGTGGAGGGAACGCAAATACGGGGCTCTCTGGTGCCCTGTGAACCGTGCCAGTACACGAGACCGTTGTCCCTGAGAAAGGAGTTCGGGACGGTCTTGCCACTCCGAAGGGTAGCGTTGATGTCGCGATAGTCGGGGCAGTGGCAGTACTGAGTGCGAAACTCGTCGATCACCGAGTGGTGGACAGTGGTGACCGAGATGGAAGAGAGGCTGATCTGCTCCTGGTCGTGGTTAGGGCGCCGGGATAAGGCATCTGCGACCCGATTAGTCTCACCCTTGATGTGCTCAGTGGTGAAACTGAACTCGGATAAGTCGCGCCACCAGCGAGCCTGTCGAGGAGTGAGCTTCGGTTTTGTCAGAAAATCCTGGACAACAGAGTTGTCCGTACGCACCGTGAACGGTGCCCCGTGCAGGTAGGGACGCCAGTGCCGAGCGGCATAAACTACTGCGAGAACCTCACGTTCATCAGCGGTGTAGTTTATATCGGCGGGCAGGAGCTGACGGGAGTAGAAGGCTATCGGACAATCACCTGAGCGAGACTCGACAGTGCCGTCCTTGGCGATGGTAGGAGAATAGTCAATAGAAGGCTCGTCAGTAGTTGGACGAGTAGGCATCAGTCGGGAAGCAGTGGTAGGGGTAGGTGGTGGGAAGCGAGGGATAAGAGGATGAGAGGAATCAGGAAAGGAGGGGAAGACCTGAGAAAGCACTGCTCCTACAGCGAAGTTTGACGCATCGGTGGTAAGGATAAAAGGGCGATCAAAATCGGGTAGGTGAAGAACCGGTGCGCATGTCACCGCCTTCTTGAGGGCGCGGAAGGCGTCCTCGTGGAGGGGTGTCCAAGCCTAGGGTGGGTTCTTCCGAAGGAGGGTGGAGGTAAGGACGTAGGAATACCTAGCCTATCCCTGGATGAAATTACTATAGTAGCTGGTCAGGCCTAGGAAGTTGCGAAGCTGCTTGGCAGATGTGAGAGCGGTCCACTTTGCAATAGCAGTGATCTTCGCGTCGTTCATGTGGAGACCCTGGTCAGACACGTAGTATCCTAAGAAATCCACTTTGTGCTGGGCAAAGCGGCACTTGCTCATCTTGGCGTAGAAGTCATGTCTGCAAAAGCGGTCAAGGACGTCGCGGAGGTGTCAAAGGTGCTCCTCAAGGGTACGACTGTAGACCAGGATATCGTCGAGGTTGACGAGAACGTACTGCTCCAGGATGCCCCTGAAGATGTCATTGGTCGCCCTCTGGAAGGTAGCGGGTGCGTTGGTGAGGCCGAATGGCATCACCGTAAACTCGTAGTGGCCGAAGCGCGATCGGAACGCGGTCTTCGGCTGGTCGGCTGCAGCGACGCGGATCTGATAGTAACCTCTACGAAGATCAATCTTCGTAAAGAAGCGGTTGCCTGCTAGGCGGTCGAACAACTCATCGGAACGAGGCATGGGGTAACTGTTCTTAACCGTGTAGCGGTTGAGACCGAGGTAGTCGATGCAGAGACGAAGAGTTTCATCCGCTTTGCGAGCAAAAAGGATGGGTGCACCCCACGGGGAGTTGTTGGGTTTAATGAAACCCAGTCTCGGGAGCTCCTCAAGCTGACGCTTGAGTTCGGTGGCCTCGGGGATCGAGAGTCTGTAGGGTGCCTGGTGGTGAACACGATAGTCAGACACAAGCTGAATGGAGTGCTCGACGTCACGCATCGGTGGGATGCCGGCGTACGAGAACGACGATGGAAAAACGTCGTCGTACTCTCGGATGAGATCACGAACTGCGGGATCCAGGTCAGCGTATATCATGCGAGTTCCTCAGCGTCAGCGTCAGCGCGCGATAGGGAGGTGGACTCGACGGACGGCGGAGGGACGAAAGTAGAGATGGGAGCCATGGAGATAGAAGGAGGTGGTGTGGGCACGGAAGGCTCTGGGGGAGGAGGATCGGGGCGTGGTGTCGCGGTGGTACCTATGAAAGGTACGCGATACGTCTGTCCACACTTTGTTTTGAGAACGAGAGTGTTGGTCACCCAATCGACCYCGGTGCTGCGGAACCGATGAGACCACGGAGTGCCGAGAATGAAGTCGTACCCCGTCTCCATCACATCGAAATGTGTAGAGGAGCAGTGGCGACGAGACGCCAGGGAACGATCAGTCGGCTCGAGAGTGAGGAAGAAAGGGAGGTCTGTGACCGTCTGATCGAAGAAGCGCTGAGTCTTGTCATCCCCTAGGGTAACGGGGATGGGAGTCGGAGACCCTGTCGTCGGCAAGCGGGCTTCTTTCACCACGCGTGAGTGAATGAAGTCGCCCTGAGAACCGGAATCCCACAGCGCTGAGTACACCCTCGTGGAGGTCCCGAGTCGTACGGGGATGATCGGGAGGGTGCGATCAGGGTCAGAAAGGATGGCGAGAAGGCGACGCAGTGCAACGACATGGAGGGTGAGTCGCTTCTGACGAGCCTGGAGCATGCTCAAGTCCAGAAGAGAGGACACAACGTCCTCGCGAGTAGCGAGCTACTCACTGCAGTGGGCTGAGCGAATGGCTCAACGCGTCAATAATCGCGGCGGGGAAGGAGGGGAGACGGTGGTCTGCGGAGGCGCAGACGGTACTGCAACAGAGGGCCGAGAAACCCACTATTGAGGAGGGCGCAGGTGTACACTGCATCGTGGCTAGGAGGCGCCGCGGGGATGAGTGGCGCCGGGGGGGGACTGAGCACGACGCTGGCGGGAAAGGTCAACGTAGTGGCGGTCAAGGGCAGTGGTGTAAGGGCACCGCGAGGAGGTATGACCATCCTGAAGGCATCGCGACCCAAAATAGGCGCACGTTCCTCAGCGGAAAGGACACCGCCAGGAGGGACAAAGCCCTGAGGGAGGTCTTGCTGAGGGACCTCCGGGGGCGACGAGTCAGCGTGACCAGGGCGGCTGCGTGCCCGGGAGAGGGTGGAGAGGATGAGCTGGAGACGCTCAGCCATAGGGAGAGTAGGGTCCTCCAGGTGGTGGTGGACGGCCTCACCAAGGTCGGGGTCGTCGCTATGGTCACCCTCTGGCAACAGCGAGGCACCAACGTCCTGCTCACCATACTCGAGCGCGCTGAAGTGGCGCGAGAAGTGGCGGCCCTGCTGCGCGGAACGGTGGGGGCGACCGCGAAAAGGGGAACGGCGCTGGGAGTGTCGTGAGAGGAGGAGGTGGCGTAGCCCGTGCGTTGAGGCTAGGGGGAGGAGGCAGGGTGAAGACGGGCTCGCATCCGCTGATGGTCCCTGGCGGCCTCGTAAGCCTGCGGGGCCGATGTGAACTCGTACCTCCATAGCTCGGAGCGGTACTCGAGCGGAAGGCTGGCCAAGAAACAATCGATAAGGGCCGCCTCGGGAAGGAACGCCATGTCACAAATGAGGCGGGCATCCTGAAAGACCTGGATGTGGCGATTTAGGCCGACAACGCCACCAGAGTCGGACCAGTGTGTAGTGACGACACGCTCGAAGGCGTAAGTGACGTCATATCGGGCTCCGAAGAGATCCTCGAGGAACGCCTTGAAATCCATGAAGATCGGAGTCCGACCCACACGAACGGAGTAAGGCAATGTCCAGGCGTCGGAAGGACCGCCACGTAGGCGTGTGGAGAGGTGAGCCACCCACGTGTCGGGTGCGGCACCCATGAGCTAGAGCGTGAGGGTGGCAGACTGTAGCCACCGAGACATGCGTATGCCTATACCGTCATACAAGGCAATGTCTGTCATGCGGACGAGTGGTGTGCCACCATTTCGGCGGCGAGGAGAACGAAAAGCAAGGGACTGCGCCTGGGCTGAATAAGTCGGCGTAGGTCCTGGAGGAGGGGGCGCAACTGACTGTACGCCCGCGCCGTATGTTGGAGCGGCGGGGGAAACAGCGGCAGGCTGCACGGGAGCTGCGATACAAGAGGTCGCAGCAACCAAGGGGATGGGGAGGAGGTAGCATGGGGATGGGTAGGGTGCAGGGCGAGGGAAGCGAGCCTGCATGGAAGAAAGAGTAGAGGAAGAAGGGGGTGCGCCGGAAGGCATGGCCACCTGTGAGGGTGGGGGAGGCTGAAGGCGTGAGAGGGCGAGGTCGGCCCGAAGCTGGGCAATCTCGTCCTCGAGACCTCGAACGTGTGCGAGGGGTAGCAGGAGGAATAGTGGGGGAAGTGGACGCACAAGCGGCGCGGGGCATCCCAGAGGGGGGAGAGCCAGGTGGCGTTGTGGTCGTGCGAAGGGGGGGGAGGAACGGGGCACCCGGAAACGCTGAGACCATGGTAGCAGGTTGTGGTCCCATGGCCGTCGTGACCGGAATCTGGGCGGGTACGCCCGTAGACTGAGGGAGGGTCTGGCTCATGGCGGCCGTCGTGCTAGGGGCGTGGACAATCACCAAGATGGTCGGGTCGGGGGCAGCGGAGGAGGAAGCTCCGTCGTGGCCACCCTGTCAGAGGATGGGGGACCCGGACTGGGAGCCAGAAGATGAAGGACACACAGCATCTTGGAGTAGCTGCATGCCAGCGGCAAGGGTCGCCACCTGTGCCTGTAAGGGCGCGAGGGTTGCGAGTTGCGCCTGGATGGGCGCAAGGAGGGAGGTGAGGAGGGTGTGCAGATCCCCCTGGGGCTGGTGGCCCTGGTCCGTCGGCACGGGCGTGGAGCCCTGTGCCGTGGGCGTCGCCGCGTCGGCAGTGTGTGACGCGCCGTCGGCCATGGGGAGTTGACGGGCCGGACTGGAGGGGGCCAGGAGAGGTCCGCGTGAGCGGAGGGCATAGAGGGAAGTTTGCGGTAGAAAGCGGCGGACGCCGCTAGCAAGGCTGGCGCGGACGCCGTCAAAGGGGGAGGGGTGGTTCGGGTCCAGGGTGCCCGAAGAGGACGGGGAATTAGGGGGGGGTTGAAGAACCCTAAACCCTATAAAAACCCTAAGAAAACCCTAACCGGAGTTTGAGTGGTTAGGGTACGGTGCTGGTGACCTAATCAAGAAAATAAAATAGCAAGCATAGGGGGGGGACGGCGGGAGAAAAATAAATAAACAGCAAGATTTCGAGAAAAAAAATAAAAATAAATAACAAAATAAATAAATAATAAAAATAATTAAGGGAATAAGTAAACAAAATGTGAAAATATATATATATATATTTTTATTTTTTTATTTTTTTGAAATTTTCAGCAGCATTTCCCTACCCCCCATGGGGTCAAGAATGTGCCAAGGGGAAAGGGGAGACTAATGTGAGCACACTAAGTTTCAAGATGCCGCAAATAAAAAGAAATTTCAAAAAATAAAAAGAAAATAATAAATAAATAAATAAATAAATAAGTAAATAAGGGGATGAGGAGTTGGGAAGAAATGAAGTATCTGATTTGTCAAAAATTTCGGCAGCATTTCGTTACCCCCATGGGGTCGAAGTGTGCCGAAAAAGACTAAGTAAGAGAAAATCAGAAAATTTCGGCAGCACTTCGTTACCCCCACGAGGTCAAAACGTGTGCCGAAAGCAAGAAAGACGAACACCTAATCAGATTTAGGGTTGCCGTAAAGAAAATTGAATTTTCAGAATAAATAGAAAAATAAATGAAATAAAACAGAAGATGAGAAAAGAAGGTGGGGAAGAAGATAATTCGAATTTTTGGAAAAAGAGAAAATATAAATCAAAAGGGAGATAGATAAAAAAAAAAACAGAAAAATTTGAAGTAGGGGGGGAAGGGGGGATGAGAAAGTGATGGAGAGAAGAAAGAAATAGGTGGGAGAGGGAAAAAGATGGAAGTGGAAGGTGGGGGGATGATGTGGTGGCCGTTGGGTGAGAGAATGGGAGAGAAAGAGGATGGGGAAAGATGGAGAGTGATCAAGAAACTAAGAGGAAAGAAGGAGGAGAGAAAAGAAAAGAAATGAAAAAAAGAGGGTAAGATAGTGGTTAGTGGGAGAAAAGGTGGGGTGGGGAAGGTAAAAAGAGGAGGGGAGAGAGGCAGTGGAAGGTGGGGGAAAGAAAAGGG